TTTGTAAAGAAGTATTTTAGACTGTGAAGATTTTTAGTTTTCCTTGAGAGCACCAGAGACAGCTGAAACTAGAGATGGTGTTTTCCTATTTCATTGTTTCCTTCCCAATGGACAGTTAAACCCAAAAAGTGTTTGTGTTCCTTTGTGCCTTCCTTGCAGTCTGGGAGTCTTCCACTGCTTGTCTGGCATGATCTTGGAATATCAGCTCTAGACACAGGTCAGCAGTTTGGCCACTGAGACATGGATCCGAGTTTCACAATTATCTTGTCTGGGTCAACATGTGGCTACTTTCCAAAAATGCCTTCCAGTTTTACAGGATTTAGTTTGGAACAATTTTCATCTAATTTTCAGGAGCAAGAAGCTCCATCAAACAACGCTGCTCACCTCTCTTGTGATTGCTGTGGGTTGTTTTTGCACCCAAAATTAAAGACAGTGATGGTGTAGAAATTTGGGGCATTGTTTTTGTCACCTTGTGTAAAGAATTGCTGTTCAGAAGTGTCCTGAGGCTTTGAGAACTTTGCATTGTGGTTTGAACAGGAAAGCAAGAGTAAATTGTGTGTTTATTGTACCTAATAGGTGTTAATTAGGATCCCATTTATAAGCACATTTTCTCTCCTGGTTAGCAATATGCTGAGCCAAAAACTTGGCAAAATAGGAGTTCTGCATTTCATTGAAAATCAACCTATTTAGAATCAAGCTTGTGTGTTACAAGGTCCCTTAAGGATAGGATAAGGATTCTTGTTCGTAGTCCCCTCATTTTGACAGAAGAGTTGGTTTCATGGTGGTTTAATTCTGCTGCTAGAAGGAAGAGGTTCCTCTTTAGTGTGGGCAGCAGAAACAAATTCATCTCCAGGAGAGATGAGTGTTTCTTTCCTTGGGTGCAGACAAGGTGAAGGAGTGAATGTGTAGGGAATGAACAAGCTTCTGTAGAGTTGTTCCATGGTGGGAAGGACATCTTTATTCATTGGATCCTCTTTGTACTTTGGAGGTTTGGAAGCTCCCCTTGCAGGTAATAATCTGAGGGTTTGAGGTGGGGGAGTGTTGAGAGCCCACACGAGGTCACAGGGCAGGATCATGCCGATTTTAGCAGCAGTGGTGATGCAATAGCTACCCCAGAAGGAGCTCCAGCCTTGGTGCCCGTGGGCAAGGAGCTGGCTGGATTAACTCTGCCTTCTCCTCATTGCCACTGCAGCACTGAGCTCAGGAACCTGAAATAGATCCCTTTGCTGAGCTGAGCCTGAGCTCCACACACTGTGAGTGATGGGGATGGAGTTCCAGGGAAGGGAAACCATCCTGGGGAAGGGTGGGAAGGGCCAGAGCCAGAGCTTGGCTTTAGCTGGATCAGGCAGTGACACGGGAGCCTGTGGCTGTGACACTGAGCAGAGAGCTCTGAGCAGCATCTCCCAGCACACTTACAGCAAGACATTTAATCCCTTTCTGTTCCTCATCTTTCCACCTAGAATGGAGTGATAAAACTTCCTTTATCCCCAAGCTCCCAGGAGTCTGTTTAGATGGTGAGATCTTTGAGGCAGAGAAAACGCCTGGCCCAGAGAGGCCCCTTTGTCAAATAGATGCCATTGTAATCCCTGTAATGGGAAGCACCGCTCACCTGCGAGCACATCTCTCCCAGCTTGGCAGTTTCCAGATCGTGACCTCTCCCAGGACTGTTCCTAACAGCTGTGCAGACAGGCTTTCTTATCTCCTTTATAACAATTTTATTTTATTTAGTTTATTTTTTGCTGTATAAATTCCTTAAGGGTTCAGTTTTTTTCTTATTTATTTTTAAAAAGTAATTTTATTTTTTTTATTGAAACACTACTTCTCAACAGCCATCTCGCTTTTTAAAAATTTATTTTACTCTTGGAAATATTTCAGACTGGGAGCTGATCCAAAGATGACCTTTCCCCACAGACAGTTTCAACAAATCAATATTTTTCCAGTGCAAAATATCTATCATTGGAAAATCCTCACTGGCACTTCTTGAACGCTGCAGGGAATGCTTTGCAGGCAGGGACCTGCCATCTGAAAGCTGGTTGCTGAGTGCAGAATTAGCACTAATACAGTTCTTTTGATGGCTTCTTCTGTATCAGTATAAGCTCTGAGCTGCCACTCACATACAACAACTTCCTTTCAAGTGCTGCCATTTCTCACTTGGATATTTCCCCACAAAGCTGACTGTTTAACCATTAAAAAGTCACTGCCACTGCTTTTCTGTTTAATGGGGAGTTTTGTTTGGGTTCCTATTGTAGCTGAGGAGGATACATGATCTCTTTTGAAAAGAGCCATTAACATGATAAAACATCTTGGGGACATGCAGTCCCAAAGCTGATGGTTTCATCTTTGCTGGGGTATCTGAACACTATTAAATGCAGGGGACTGGGCTAAACGAGGGCCTGAGCTTTGTAGTGGTGTGGCACCAGAACACAGAACTCAGTGCTGTTACCAGATTTTTCTGTAACTGTTTCCTGAAATATGCTTTGCATTTAGGATTCTGAATCAAACACAGGGGTGCTATAAAAACCCGATGTTTTCCATACTTCGAAGATGGGAGATTTCAGAAATGTTGGTGTTGCTGAGAGAGGTATTTCCTTTATTTATCTCCCCACAATTATGTGTGTGTGTGTATAAGTGTATATGGGCATAAACACACACATATATATACACACACCACACCCACCTGTATGTGAATATTTACACCCTCTGTATCCCTACTCTGGGCTGTTCTGCAGGTGCAAATGCACGTATTTGAGGTGATCTCTGCCCATTGCTTCCCCATGCCATGGTTCATACTTGGTCTTGTGACCTGGCTTTATCACCTTCCATGCTCTTGTGGGCTATGGAGGAATTCTGGTTGCCAGCCAAAATTGTACAAAAAGCTTTTTCATTTTTATGACTTTGTTTCTGTCACCACCCACTCTGTCTTCCCAGTTTTACATCAAAGAGCAGAAATTAACTAATTTACGTGCAGTTTATGATCCAGGGACCTGAAGCTGAACAAACACTGATCTTGCATAATGCACAGATATTTAGCAATGGTGGTCTTATATGTCAAGAAGAACCTCTTTAGGGACATAGTGAATTCCATCTCATCTCCATCCAGGATGTTCCTGTGACAGAAAGCAGAAGCAGAGGGTTTCCTTCTGGGGGCAAAAATTCTGTCTGGATCATTCAAGAGATCTGGCTGGAGTGTTTCTCCTCACATTCTGCTTGGAAGCTTTGTGGTTATATGCAAGAGAGGGGCTGAAGACGGGAAAAGTGGGAATACTTGCAGTCTGCATCTTTCATTTCCAAAGCTTCTCTTCATTTTACATATCAGTATTGTCCCCAGCCACGGTTTGGAAGGAAGTTTTACTGGTAGTGCTTTCACACTGTGGTTTATTACCTAGATTTGTGTTCTTCCTGTAATGCTTATGGATAGTTAATTAATGCACTTTTTGATTTTAGTCCTCTCCAGAAGGCAGGGGGTTGAGAATCTGGGAGTTATGGGGTGGAACAATGAATTTCTCAGCAAGCTCTGAAATCTCTGCCTTGTCAATGCTTCTGCCTTGCTATACCTATCAATAAAACAGTGTGTGATGTCCTCATGGCTAATTGGTGCTTAAGTGCTTTCAGAGCTGTGGGTAAACCACTAATTAGTCACAGTCATTTAGTCAAAATTACTAAAGACTGATATTTTCCCATATGTTCTATTTGTTCAGAGAAAATGTCTTGAAAAGTCATTGATTTAGGTTTCCCTGGAGTATTTGCTGTTGTTTGTTTGTTTGACAGTGACTTTCTGCATTGTGGCTAATACAGATGCTGAATTGTGCTGTCTGCTTCCAGTTTTTGTGAATGTTCTTTGGGTTGAAATAGTGCAAAATCCTCTTTCCAGAAAGAGATGTGGAAATGGAGCAGGATGCAGATACTGCTGTGATAACTATTTTGTTTCAGTATGTTCTACATCATCGCTGGGACTGGGATTTATCTCGTCTGCACCCTCTCTTGTACAGATCTATTTTATAGAGACATGATCTGTTTTATAGAGACATACCAACATGCCTGTACACAAAACACACATGCACCCACAGTCTCTTACATTACATTGGGGAAGAAGCATGAGGCTGAAGCGTGTTGACTCAACTATTTAATGAGGTGCAATAAATCTTGACAAGACCAGCTGGCACAAGAGTCAGATTTCTCATCTTTTTACCATTACCTTGAAATGTGAACAATAGTGGAAAGAAATGTAACTCTTCTTTGTTGTTCTTTTGGTACTCAGCTAAGTAGCACTGTATTGAAATCATCCACTTGCATGGAATGCAAAGCATGGTGGATGCTGTGGAAAATGTTACTGATGCAAAGGTCCCTTTTCCTGATGCTTGTTCTTAAATTCTGAAAATGTTTTGATCTGGTAGGTCACAGTTGTGGTCAGCACTGGGATCCCTGCAGCACACACTGGCTGAGCAGAGCAGCAGCACTGGGGAATGATCCCCAGAATATTCCCAGTCTTTGACCCTGCCTTTCACCAAGCTCCTCCTTTGCTGCACAGACCCCAGGACATCCTTTCCTCCTTCTCATTCCACCTTCTCCCTAGGGGCATTGCTGGCTGATTATTGCTACCACCAGCTGCAGTTACTTGAGTATCTTATTCTAAAAATAGGAGTAATTAAGCATCTTGGACATCTAAGCATTTGGCATGGTTCCAAAGCACCCAGCGTGGCCTCCCATATAGGATTCCTTTTTAATGGACCAGATTTATTCTTGTGAAAAGAAATGTGTTTAAATAGCACACTTTTTGTTTGGGGTAGGTTTTGTTCCTGTCAGTGGCATCCATCAATCTCTTTCATGCTTCCAGCCTCACCACTTAATGCCAATCAACCCTTAAAAAATAATTGCTCCCAAACCAACTGGATGCCTCTGGATTCACTTGAGAAAGACTGCCTGAGCTTTGAAGTATATCCCATAATGATGGCTGGCATCCCCAGAAGTAATAACTGCACCTCCTTGCTTTGTGATTGCAGCATTTGATGTGTGCTGGGCTCTGGTGCCTGGTGGAAGGAGACACATCCTGTAAAACAAAGTTGGACCCCCCTCTGGATGGCACCGAATGTGGCGCAGACAAGGTAATGAGAGTGCTCGGCACCAGTCACCTTTTCTTTCCCAGCATTGGGAATAATGTTTCCAAGATGTTCAGTATTTACCATAAACCCATAGCTTGGTCGTGTTCTGGGTTTTATTTGAGGTAAAAAGTGTGCAAAGCATTTAGCCTGACATTTGGAGAGTGGTGGAAGACGGGGAAAGAAATAAAAAAGCTGCTTAAAAACTTCATAGTTTCTACAAGTAGCTCAAAATAATTGAGCTCAAATTCAGTGATGTTCTGTTCTTTTTGAAGTATAATTTGCTGTGTTTATTTATATATGTAATTTTTGGAACTTGCTTGGTTTGATGACTCTCATCCCCCTACTTACTTGTTTTGGGCTCTAAATTTTTTTATCTATGCTATAGTTGGGGAGGTAAGAAAGGGTAAAATTAAAAAGCCTGGTGGCTGAGATCAAGGATTGGAACCTTTTCTTTGCTTGCAAATAAAGATAAATAATGACAAGAAAAATTGGATCCTGGAAATCATGATAAGGAAACAGAAAAAAAGGGTTTTTAGGCCCATGTTTTTCTAACTGGAAGAGCCCTGGTGACTCTTTCATAAGGTTTCTTAGCAGTGCTCACTGTGTCACATCCTGGACAGGCCAAGTTTGCTGCTTGGTCAGGAGCCAGCACAACCTATTAGAATCAGAAAGGTTTGGGGCTTCAGCCAAGTTAGGTCCAAAATACTTCAATCATTTTGTACATACTGGGAACTGATGAAGGCATTGCTTTGGGGTATAATTTCTTGGACTCCGTTTCTGTGAATTGTGGGGCTTTAAGTCTTAATACTTAGATAATTATCTGCTTTATAAAGTAAGGGGCTCAGTTCTGTGATTGTTTTTTTAATGACAGAACTCCCTTCAGGGGCTTGTTGAGAGTGACACTTAAATTTCTACGTTTCACCTCCTCCCTTCCTCCTTCTCCCACTGCCATCTCACCAAAGCCTCGAGTCCCTAGAAACTTAGACGTGGACTTGTTGCAGTCCCTCAGACATCCTTTAAAATGCACCTGTGCAGGGTCAGGGCTTCTTCCCAGGCTGTGCTAACCTGATTGCCTTGCAGTGGTGCCGAGCTGGGGAGTGTGTCAGTAAAACGCCCATCCCTGAGCACGTGGACGGGGACTGGAGCGTGTGGAGCCAGTGGAGCATGTGCAGCCGGACGTGCGGAACGGGGGTGCGCTTCAGGCAGCGGAAATGTGACAACCCCCCGTAAGTCCTCACACCATCCTGGCTCCTTTTGCCATGCTGGCAGCCTTTTCCCTCTTGGGCAGCCCTTGCTGCAAGAGTGCAGGGGAGGAATGGACAGCAGAGCTGTGCTGGTGCCCTGAGAAATTTCTCTTTCACAAGCTGTGATGAGCAGGTCAGAATCCTGGGGTGATTTGAAGTAGGTTCTGTGGAAGTGGCTTGAAGGGTCACCTTTGGAAGTTTCCCACTGCAGTGATTCAAAGGTAGATACAGTTGAATTAGGTACATGTAGTTTGGCAGAAAAACTGATTCTGTGTTTCCCCTCCAGCACTACAGTGAATGAGCAGGGGCTGATCTGGATCTACAGACCAAAGTGAGCCAATGTACCTTTGAGATCAGTTTTGCAGGGAGTGCTTGCTCTGGGCTTGGGGAGCAGTGCAGTGGCTGACAAGAACCAGAGTGTCCCAGAGCTCTGTTGGCAAAGCTCCTTGAGATGCTCTGTAGGTCAGGATGTGCTGCATAAGAACAGGAAGGTTTTCATGCATGCAGGGAGTCCCAGGTGCAGTTTAGCTTCTGCACAGTGACTACAGGCAAGCTGAGGCTTTCTGCATGGGCTTGGATTTTTTTCTGATTCAGGATGAAATGTGGGTGTTGTCCTTCATCCCTCAGGTCACTTCAGGCCCATCTGGAAGTCTCTTCATTGTTTTGGAGTCCTGAAGAGGTTAAAATGGTGCCATTTAACTGGCCACCCAATTGTATTTATTATAATTTTACAGCCTTGGGAACAGCCCTCCAAATGGGGTGTCTCTGACTTTATTCAGATTTTTTTCTGCACACAAAGTACCCAAAGCTTTTCTTATTAAATTGAGGCTGAAATTCTGCATCGCAACACAGTCACTTTGAAGACATGCCTAGATGATGGATAGGCTCACAATTGCTGCTGTTGACCTGTAATCATGTGAAAAGGATGTTTTTGTTTATTCCTCTCCTTTTCTGAGCTGCAGTTACATGTCTGTAATATCCAGGTTTGGTTTTTACCAGCTCATTTTCCTGAAAAGGGGACTGAGCTGGTTTCTTTGCTGTCAGCTACAGTGCTGACCAAACCTAAATCCATTCATCATCGTTCCTTAAATTACAGGAAATGCTCCTTCCAACACTGCACACTGATTTTAAAATTCTCTTGCTCATATACATTCTTGGCTGGAGATACACACGTGATCTTCTTTTGCTTCGAATTCCTGGCCTCAGCCCACTGCTGCAGCTGGTTTATTCACTGTCCAAAAATATTGGCTAAGGGATTTATCTTTTATTTTGTATATATTTGGTCTTGGGATTTTTTTTTTACAGGAATCTCTACTCCTGCCAGCTGACTCTTGAGCCTGTGGGACTATCAGTATTTTTAAACCAGTTGCTTCACTGTTTGATTTGGTTTTTCCTCTCTGTAATTTCTTTGAGCATTTACATGCATTGCCTCCTCATGGTTGTAAGGAGTGTGTCATAAACCAGTTTGCATGTGCAGACTTTTGAGTTGTACTGCCTTGTGTTCTTGTCTAGGCTTTGAGCTGGTGTTGTACAGTTGGACTGAGGAGAAAACCACTGGTCCAAACAGAGCATCCCTTCTCCAGTCCCCCCTTGTCATGTAAAAGGGTCACAGCAGCATAAATGGGCTTTGATTTCTTCAGTTCCATTAGTGGGTGGATTCTCTTGGCATAAATACAGTGAAAGGTGGTTATGGAGCTGCCTACCAAGAGATCTTACACAGTCACTGTTTCAGACATGGGCTTGGATTGCACTGTTCATTGGAAATCCCAGGCAGTGCTTGAGCTCTTAAGTACAAGGCTTGGACCTGGAATTCTAGATTCCATGCTTACTTGTGGGGTTTTTTTGTTTATATTTTATTATATTTTGCAAAGAAAATACAGGCTATTGCTGAGAATTTGAATTTTCCTTCTTCTCTAGGGAATCATAAATAAAAACAGATAGGTTTTGCAGGTGCTTAATTCTGATGTTGCATTAGTGGCCTTTCCTGCATGTTTAAAAAAACAAATGTGTGGAATGGCATGGATTTCATGGATGGAGGTTATCTGCAGCACAGGTTTGTTTCTGGATACTCTACCTACAGTTCAGGTTAGAGCTGCTTCTGTGGTGTTTTATTTGCAAGGAGGACACGTGCTGAAGAGATGTTTGCTGTGTTTCCATGCTCAGGAGTGTTTGAGGCAGGGGGCAAAGCAAGGGTGGGAGGGGGAAGATGGAACATTCCGGGTGTTTGGTGCTGAGCCTGCCTTTGTTCCCCACTGCAGCCCGGGGCCGGGTGGGAAGAACTGCCGGGGGGCCAGCGTGGAGCACACGGTGTGTGAGAACCTGCCCTGCCCCAAAGGGGTGCCCAGCTTCAGGGACCAGCAGTGCCAGGCCCACGACAGGTACACCAACAAGAAGAAAAGCCTCCTGACAGCTGTCATTGTGGATGGTGAGTTTTTTCGTCTCCCTCTGTAATTCCTCGCTGTTCTTTTGCTGCAGTTTCTCATCTGCAGGGCTCCCATTGTTGGTGAGAAGACCTCCTTTAACTATAGCTGAAAGACTAATTGCAATTAATTGTTCTTGATGCTGCCCTGCTGTTCCTTTAGCCTGCTTAATAGAACATACAGAGTTGTCAATGCTTTACTCATCTTTTTGAAATGCTGGGAGAGAAGTGCCTTAACTTGATTCCCAGTCTGAAGTTGAGAATTTAAATATTAAAAAGTTCCAGTTAGTTTGGAACTGAAAGAAAAGGTGGATTCCCTGTGACATTATTAAATTTATGTCATTTTGGGGCATCTCAGCATAGTTAACTATCTCACCTACATTCCTTTAATGCTTCCTCTGCTGGATCGTGCTGTTCATTTGCTATTCAACCAGATGTTGGTGGGATATGAAATGGTGTGGAAAACTTGTACTTCTAAAATCACTGCCTGTAGCCTTAATTTTGTGAGGCACAATGACTTGATCGTTCTTATCAGACTGATGAATGTTCCCTATAAGAAACATCTTCCCTTTACAAACAGATACATGAAAGTGTATTGACTAATTGGTTTTCTGTGCTGTTAACACCCAGTCTCATCAATGTAACCCTTTAAATAGTGATATTTTAAAGTGGAGAAATAACAAGCCTAAACTGAAAGCTTCATGTTCCTTTAAAGATGAGATGTCCAAATCCATTCATGTAGAGAATGCATCACCATTGCCTCAAACACTTGTGCTGTTCCCAAGGGCAGTTGTATTTCTTTTCCCAGATAAGCCATGTGAGCTCTTCTGCTCCCCACTGGGCAAGGATTCTCCTGTGCTGGTGACAGACAGAGTCCTGGATGGAACTCCCTGTGGGCCTTATGAGACAGATCTCTGTGTACATGGCAAGTGCCAGGTGGAGTAACTTTCTCTTGTTCTATTTCTAGTGTTAGGTTCAGTCTGGGGCAGCACCATGTGAGTGGCTGGGAGGCTGTCCGTGAGGGGAGGGGACAGCCCTGTTTTATAAGGCCCACTCTAAGTGCTCCAAGGCTGTGTCTTGGTCTGAGAATTGTGCTGAATACCCGAGGTATGATGATATTATTACGGCTGGGAATGCTGAAAAATCACATTTGCTTGTGTGTGTGGCTTGGGTGGGAAGGGACTTCTGTGAGGGGAGCAGATTGGAGGGGAAGTCTGGCCTGCTTAACTGCTCTTTTGGCTGTTGAGGAATCAGTGATAAAAGCACTGAAGCTGCAAATCAGCTTACAGATTGTCACTAGCCTGTTACAAGCAATATCTTGCCAGAATCATGATGGTTTTCAGGTCCACCTTGTTCCTTCTTAGAAATACTGAGGAAGCTTTCCAGTACCAGTTGCTCCTTGGCTCCTGCAGCTACATGAACCAGAGTCTTCAAATTGAATTCCCTTTTCCTTAGAGTGTTGGCCTATAACCATTGCAATGATTGTTTCTCTCTAACCAAATTACACACAGACCCAACATGGGCTGTGGGAGATCTCTGTAATAAAACTTCATGGTTTGCTGAGAGAGCTTGTAACACACTGAATGCTAAGGAGGGCAGCTCTTACCACTGATGCTTCAGGTTCCTCAAAAATGTAATGGAGCTTTGTAGACCCTTATAAGATGGAAATATAATGTTTGGACAAGGGAAGGGAGTTGACAAAATGTGTGTTTAAAGATCATAAAAGACTGGAAGTTGTTTGGAGTGGGTGCTCCTGGTGAAGCATTCAGGTCGTTTGTCACGGACAATTTGTCAGGGCAGACTCCTCATGAGTTTCCTCTCTCCTGATCATGGAGCCTGTGTTCAAAGTGTGCTGCACACACCACAGTGGTGGGTTCTTCTCTTTAAGTTTCTCCTCATCTAGATTTGTATCCTGTGGTAGGAGTTGCTCTTCCTGGTATTACCCTGCCCTGGTATACACCAGAACAGCTTTTTAGCATCACCTTTTATTTCCGCTAACTTCACTGGTTTGTCCTGGCAAACCAGAAAAGTTAGTGGAAATAAATCAACATTTGGCATTATTTCTGATTTCTGTGAGTGGTTAAGAAATGCCAATTTTTATTGCTTTGAGCCTTCCAGGCAGGGAGATAAATGAACACAATACTCACTTGGGTGTGAGAGAGGCTTTGGGGGCATAAAGCAGCTTTACTAATAGCAATGCAAAGAGAGAAGTGAAAAATCCTTGGATTGAATTTTGCACTGCTGCAGGAGACACTTCCCACTGTTTCTTGACAAATGATGCTGAAGAGGCATGTTTAATTCACTCTTTCTTATTTATTCCAACAAAGAATATGAATAGCAGCAGTCTGGGGAGCCAGTGCAAGTTTGATTCTTTATAATACAAAGTGCTTTGCACATAGTGCCAGGTTCATGGTGCATCCCAAGTTACTTCATTTTTCCCTGTTTTTGGCTATAACTAAAAAAAGCTAAAAAAACCCTCATTAATAACCTTTTATAGTCAGGCCAGCTGTGCACCTCCAGCTGTGTGCCATTGACCATTACTCTGGGCTGGCCAGTTTTATTGCTCCAAACCTTCAGAACTGTCAGAAATGGTAAATCAGACATCATGGCAAGGCACGTTTCTTTCATCCAGGGAGGATCAGTAGCCAGCTCCCTCCAAATGAATTCCTTTATGAGCACAGAGCACTGGAGGTACATCACGAAAAGCAAATTGCACTCAGAGTCAGGGGCAACTGCCTTTAACTGTGCAGAGAGGTGATGACAGCTGCAGAACATTCAGTCCATTTGCATCTGGCTGAGAAAAAATGTGAAATGATCAGTTCAAGCCGAGCAGATTTGAAAGCCCTGTGAACTCATTTATAATACTCCTCTGCCATATATGCAGTGCAGTGCTGAGAATTGCCATATGTGCCTGTGTACCCCATTTGCCACAGATATTTGTCTAACTAGCTGCCTATTAAACCAATTTAATTGCCATGTTCATTTAATTACTCCTCTCCTTGTTTCTTTACCCAGTGTAGACAAAGCCTGGCAATAAGCATTGCAGGGCGCCTGGAGAAGAGAATAAGTGCTGAAATCAGAGGGTGGTATTACTGTTATTTATTTTCTTATGTAATCCTTCTAGTTAGAGGCTCTCAAAGGCAGGGATGACACATTGTCAGTGCAACAGACAAATTAGCAGTAACCATTGCCTGTGAACATCTAGCCCAGGAAGTGTAATAGATCTTCTCCCTTCATTAGTTGCTCCTAAATGCAGCTCATGAATTGTTCTTGGATGATGAATGAATGTAGATGAACATGGCAGAGAAAAAACTGCGAGGAGAGGAGGGTTTTGAGAAAGAAAGCAGGAAGAGATTCTCTGAAGCCTCAGAATGCCCCAAATACATTTGAGCACTAAGGGAATTTTCCTTCAGTTGTACTTTGTGAAGTTATTACAGTTTCACTTTAAGGCTGAACTCCAATCTAAAAGGTGTCAATGAAGCCTTCGGTGTCAGCCTCACTATCCCTGAAATCATCAAAAAAATCATCAAAAGCAGCAGCATCCCTGTATTTATCCCTTGCACCTGAAGGCAGCTGGAGTGAGTAAACTTGGTTATTACTTTGATCATGCATAGAAGCACCAAAGAGCAAAGCCAGCTCTAAATTTAGCATAGGGGTTCCTAAATCACCTAGACATTTTCTAGCCTTACTCCTTGTTTTTGAGATGAATTATAAGGTCTTAATTCAATTTTTTCCTTGTTTGAATTGCTTTTGAGGCTGAACATTTCAAATGCACCATTTCTTACCATCCTCTGAGCAAACTGGATCTCCTGCTCAAAGCTTATGTTGGTCTTTGACCTTTTCTCCTCAAAATGCACATGGTCTTCTAGCAAGGAGAATTTATTTTCTCCAGAGATTTTTCAGAGGCAGAAAATCTGTAGCAGACTGGAGAACAAGAGCAGCCTGATGTTTTGGAGGAGGAGGGTGAGTGCTCCTTTAGGCTTTGCAGCAGTTTGCTTTCCCTGTAATGGACACTGCAGCCATGGGGAAGGTGGAGTAGGGCACTGCAGCCTGCATCTCACACTGGGTTCATCTTCTGTTTCTCTTCAAGTGACAAATGGCTTTCAGGGAGAGGATTCCCTGAGGGTTTGGTTCTTCCCTGGGCCTGTGGGGTGTGTGTTTGATGAGAGCTCACTCATGAGAGCAGGGCACTTTCTGACCCCTTACAGTGCTTTGCTCTGTGCTGCTGAGGTTAATTCAAAACTGCTGGCAGAAGTGGAACTAAAAAAGTGTCAGATGTCACAGAGCAGAGGGGTGAGCAGAAGACAAGCTGCTCAGCTGACTGTTATGATGCACATGACCTTGTGCTGGCTTTTCTCAAAGCAGGATTAGTCTGAGCCTCATGACAGCATGAGAACTTTCCAGTGGGGACTACAGATTGTGCTTCAGGATGTAATTTAAGGTCTCTGTGAAAAGAGAGACCTCCTGTATAGCTGAACTGGGCTGGAGATCAAGGGCAGTCTTTGCTGTTATTTAACAATTTAAGAGGTGAAGATGTTTTGGCTCTGTCTGCAGTTTTCTCATGAATGTTTTGTCATATCACACCTCCTTTCAACTGGCTGGTGAATCCACAGTATGTTTAATGATAATAAGCCATATATTAGGCTGTCCTGGCACAACAAAATTGTTACAGAACTACCTTCTTCTGAAAATGATTGTCACACTCTATGAAAGGGGAGCACAAATTGCAAAAAGGACATATTTTCAAAAATAGCTTCTGCAAACTGGACAGGCAGAGTGTCAGGAGAGTGCCAGAGGTGGCAGAGAAGAAACTGAAGTTGTCCTCTGGACCTGCTGCTGGAAAAGAGTTTTTTACATACTTAGTACCCACTTTTTGCATTTGATTGATGCCTGCAGTTCTGGCTATGTCTCCTCACTTGAGTATTTTCCATGTATTATTCATATTCCTGCATTACAAACTGTGGTACAAGATGTTCCAGACTGGGTAGCTTGTCTCCATACAACAACTTGGCTTAGCACTGAACTTTGATAAATTATTTAGTGCATGTGCACAAAATCCAGAAGGATTGTCTGAACTACAGAAACCTGTTGTATAATTGCCTTTTTGTTTTTTTCTATGTCTGGATCTGTAGCAATGTAATCTGAGGTTAAAAAGTGCATCAGGGATTTTGGTAAGGCATAATGACAAAACCAAGTCTTTGTCGATATCCTATTAGTTTGTGGTGTACTTTGCAGTGGGGTATGAAAAAAAACCCCTGCTATTTCCAGTTTTTCTTCCCTGTTATCCCATGGCAAGCATATAATAGAACAGAAGCAAAGGAATTCCTGGGATTGCAAAGAGCTTTGTATTATTTACATGTTCTCTCATGAACACAGAGCTTTTGACACAACCTTCAATATCTATATGTGAAAAATCAAGAATTATTGTGTCTAACACCCCCATGAGCTGCTGAGGGATCTAAGCACAAAGTCCATGGCAGGTGACATTGCAGCTCTAATGCAGATGTGATAATGCTGATTTAAAATAGGAGGTGTCTAACTCCTGATCCAGCAGAGCTGCTCTGATTCAGACAAAATCTGAAGCCTTGGGAAATGAGAGGAGGGTATTTGTTGAACAAACTCTTGTGTGGACTCCAATTCTTAGCACAAAATTTGTTGTGGAACAACAATTGGAGTAACTCAGAGATGAATTGCTTGATTATTGACCCAGACTCACCTCACCCAGCCCTGACAGACACCCACAGCCCTCCACAGGGGCAGAGGTGTTTAAAACAACAAAATAAGAATTCTCTTCTCCTCAGATCTGAATGTCACTTGCTCACATCTGTACATTCCTGTTTCATGTGGTCCATCCCTGGAGGTATCAATGGACATTGGATATTATGGACAAAAGCAATTGGCAGTGTAGATGAATCTGTCATAACCAGCCTGCTCTGTACATGATTAATTTGCAAAGTGGCACATGTTGCATCAATATTTATATCTGATCCATTGAGACAGCCAGTTAGTTCAGCATATGGGAAGCATTACAGTTTTGTGAGCCCACAATGTCATTTCTTGCACAGAGTGGGTGTATATAACAAAAATAATTGTGTTTATGTAGCAAAACATACCCTCACAAGCTGTATCAATTGTGCTCTTTCACAGCCATTGAAAATACAAATAAAAACATCATTAAAAAATATCCAAGCAATACAGAGAATAGTTCACACAGAAGAATCCAAGTGATATGTATTCAAAAGAGAAGAGTTTTCCTATGCTGGAGCCAGCTATGACTGAAGCTGGAAATACCACCCAACAAGCAGTACTTTCAGATGTTTAATTGTAAAAATGAGAAGAAGGGGGAGGGAGAGAAGGAAGGGTGGATGGAGATATCGGCTTAAAGAGAATTAATTTCAGTCCTTTGCCTTAGAAAACATCCAGTTACCTGCCAATTTAAAGGTCAGTGGCTTGTTCCAAAATGTGGTGTCAGAGTAGGAGATTGCCTGGGTGGAAGAGCCTTAAGAAACCTGTAGACACATTTCTGACTGTCCATGATGAGCACTTGAAGTCCTAAAAAACTTATTTTCTTATTTCTTGCCAGCATTCCCATGTTTTAAAAGCTGCTTCCTTTCTCACCAGTCCGTTGGGCTGGTCCATGGACTCAGTGTGCCTGTCTGCAGGATAACTCTTGGGTCAGAAAACACACTGGAAGTTATTGTTATTTACAAGGTCTTTCGTTCTTCAGAATGTAAAACTTCCCCTTTCTGCTTCTTAATTTAATAAATCCACTTACCTTGATTGGTTGGACTGGACAGAAACCAACACAAAACAAGTGAGAGATGGCAAAGATCAAACAACTCCCTTGAACTATTTAAATTTTAAGGAATTCTTTCTGCTCTGTGAAAACTTAACTTCTGAGCAGTGAAACTTGAGATTTTCCCTTTGCATATGGTTAATTCAGTCTTCACATTTTGGAAAGCTTTCTGCAGGCTGAGGACAGCTCTGTAGTTAAAGGATGTGCAGTATAATACACAGAGCATATTGTCAATGGAAAGATGCTGATGTACACACTTGAAGGTTTTTCCTGCCAGTGCTGGAATCTCAGGGGCTCTCCCACCTTGGAGAAATGTCTCAGTTAACTGCCCGAGGACTGCTGGCAGGTATTTGTACCCATACAGGTGATAGCCACTGTGTTCTGCCCTTCCAGCCCTGTCTCTTCCTCTTTGATCCACTGATCCACTTTTTATAAGAGATGGTGGTTTTAACAGTATTTTCCATGTGAGGGATTCTCAAAGGATCAGAGTGACCAAGGTGGTCACTGTAACGTGTTTCTAAATGACTTTGCAGCTTTTGGAATCCACTGTCAAATCTTACCCAAAGCTGTTTCATTATGTACTGTTATTGAATGTACTGTTATTAAATGCACTTTCAGTTTGGAAATGATTGGAAGGCTTGGGGAGGGGGAAATGGACTCTGATGTTTATGTAGACAACACTAAAGTGCTTCCAAGGTATTTTTCCCCCATAAAGCAGCAAGAATGCACCAATTTTCAGCTTGAAGCCAAGAAAAAAGTGTTTTATTCTCTTAGAGATATTCCTTTGTAAGAAGCCATTTCCTGGCCCAAACATGATGGGACCTTTAAGTCTCGAGGTCTGGATTGAGGGAAATCTGCCCTGTGGATGGGAGCAGTGGTGCCATTGAAGAGGAGGGTGCAAGGGCCATTCCCAGTTCCTTCATCACAGGGAATAGGGTGAAGATGACAGGTAAAAAGCAGCAAAGATATTGGGAGTTACATTTGTGGATTCAGTGGGTTGTTTCCATGCCCTTCAGAGAGGGGAGGTGTCAGTGACCAAGTAAAGGTGTGAGGAAAGGGCTTGTGATGAGCCCCAGTCTCAGACGAGGGGAGACTCAGCCTTCCCAAGCTTTGCTGGCTTCCACTGGTTTCCATTATCTGGGAAACTCCAGTGTAAACACAAAGCATGTGATTGCCAACTCCCCATTCTTCCCCTGCCTCTGTTAGAGTCCTACAGACTCCTTGTGTAGCTCTGGGAATAAGTGTGGTTCAACACTCATTATGTTCCCTTTATTCATCTGTGTGCTCACATAGTGCTAATAACAATGCAGCACAATAAAAGATAGCACCAGAGCCTTAAATTAAACACAGCCTTTCCAGTATCTCAGCAGGGTGGCAGGCAGACGTTTATTTCCAGCTGCCTTTCAGCAGCCCCATTAATAAATCATTCTGATTTTCCTGGAAGGAGAACTGCTGGGACATCCTTCTGTTCTGGGGGCAGAATCACGTTCAATATCCCAAAATTATTTGTTGGACATGGGCGTGAAGTTTAGGCTTGAGAATTGCAATTGCCAAAAACTTCACGATCTTCTTCCTACCTCCTTTAACTCCCATTTATAATTTCATACAGGTTTTTCCCTGCTGTTCCTGTGTACCAATGTAGGTGCTGTGCCAGTTAATGAACAGAATTTCCCTAGTATGTGTTTGGGATGATCAGCCTCTCTCAGCATGTCTGTCCCTAATGATTTACCCAGACATGCTCTGCATCAGCACACGGTGGAACGCTGGCAATCTTTGATCCCTGAAATACATCTGGACTCAGGCAGTGGCCAGGGTCTTCTGAAACAAGGGGAATGTTGGAATTCTGATCCAAACTGCATTGCTTACACGCAGACAGGCTCAGATAAACAGCACAAGTTCTCTTAATATTTCCCTGCTTACCCTATTTTTCAAAATGTTTGTTGTTTTGATTGTTCCCTAAGATATCCCTCCAACTTTCCTCTGGCTTCATCGTAGGAAGGCAAAGATGGGAGAGACCCAATAGCCTTATTCAAATAAGTCTTATTAGTGACAGTCCTGCTACTCATTTGCCAAGGAACTGTTTATCTATGCAGAATAAATCTTAAACTCATTTTTAACAGTGCAGTCTCTGCTAATAACTTGCATAATGACAGTGCTTACTTCAGTAGAAATTTATGTCTTTAAGAGCAAATTGCTGATCATTTTGAGGGTCTTAAATTTATATAGCTTAATCACAGTGTTGTCAGCCTCAAGATCTACAAATGTGAAATGTTCATCATCATAACCTGTCAATGTTTTGTGAATAAGGAAGATTATGGTGATAATCCTGATAGCTACAGGGAGAATATTGTGACTTTTCCCATGTGTGGAAGCAGAACTATAGGGTTTTATTGGAAAAAAAATTACGTATGTATAGAAAATGATGAAAACACCATTTTGTAACAAAGCTTTAGGTGAAACTGTTAGCTTTTACAGTTTATTTTTCAACTGAATATTGATTCTTAATCCAGTGCTAGCATGTGAAAAAGTTTAATTGGCCAGATATGAAACTGACCTGCTTGAATTGAACAACTCTTTAATTTCAGGTATCTTGAGCCATCTGATTAATGAGGTCTTTTTTCAGGTATTTCAAAAGTTTAATTAGGAGTTCAGTGTTTTCTCCCCATTGGGGTTTTCAGTTAGATGTCAGTCTTGACCTCGCTGTTTAGAGCTGCTCTAAACTTGCAAACAAAGTAATGGGGGTCTCTGATTGCTGTCATTAGAAAATCGGCTGTGATGGGATCATTGGCTCAGCTGCCAAAGAGGATCGCTGTGGGATCTGCAGTGGTGATGGGAAAACCTGCAAAGTGGTGAAAGGAGACTTCAACCACACCAAGGGCATGGGTGAGTAACACTCAGTGGGGTTCTCTTATCTGCTGGAGGAGACTTGGGGTAGCAGTAACAGCTTTTCTTCCTGGATAGCACTGGAGTCACTTAGAAAAAAACAGCTTAGGAAGCACCTAAGAAACACAAAACAAACCCCAGCTCACTTCAAGTGTGATATCCCATCTGCTTCTTACTCAGTCACCCAGATACCAGCCACTGCCTCTGCCTGAAATTCAGAGTGAAGTTGTGTTTTTCATTTTGAGTGCTACTGGTGCTGATGATTTTAAATAGGAGACAAAATCACAGAATCTTTCTCAGCGGGAGGGAAGTTGGATTTCAGCACCGTCTTTGAGGTCTCAGAATGATGCATGTTGCATGTTGTAGATGATTCATGTTATAATCAGAATATCTCAGCTGAAGAAAAGAGCACTGCACTCCCCTCTGAATATTTTTACTGATTTCCTGCCAGCAAAAGTATCCAGTATAGGATATAGGAGCTTGGAATTAAGACTTTTCCCTTTCTTTTTAAACATTAATGTATGTACAGCTTGGTGTTTGAATTAGTCTTTGTTCCAGGGTTTCTGTACTACACTTCTGAGAACCCTGTTATCACACATCCCAATTAGCCAAAGGAGGGAAAGCCATGTCCAGAACTTGGAAGCTGCTCCAGGAGGAAACACTTGTCCAGAAGAAAAATTATTTCCCATTCAGTGAATACAGAACTGGCATTTCTGTATGGATGAATATATTCAACATGTGGTGCTCCAGGACTGAGTTCTACAAAGCACGTGAAAATCCCCTTTAAGCACACACTTCAGTTCAGTTTAGTGGCTAAAAAGCAGCACCAGTGCCTAGCTGCTCCCTTTAGTCCAGGTCTCAGCTCTGATTTTGTTAACTGACCTCTTCCTCTGCACCCTCCTCCTCCTCACCTGTGGGGCCAGCTGGGATCTGTCACCTCCTGTGAGATGCAGGTAGGATTTCCCACCTGCACCAAATCTCTCTGGAGCACATTTGCGTGCTTGGCCAACCTGTCAAATGGTTTCCTGCATTTATGCCTTTGACTCTTTTGTGCCAGTTTTTTGCCACCCATTTGCATCAAGTCTTTTGCATTTGATGTTCTTCATTTCCATTGAAAAAGCTCCAGCTATTCTCCATTTCTGTAGCAGGTTATACAGCTTTCATGGGCTTCTTACATGCTGCTGCAGAGTAGCTATCTTTTATCTTTTCCCATGAGTGTACAAAACATCTTGTGCAGATAAATACAAAATTCCTGGGTCACTGCCAGGAGGTTGCACCCGTTTCCAGCTACACAGTCTGCTTGAGGTGGTGACTTTACAAGGCTGTAGGAGCAGAGCAGCTTCAGCCTTAACTGGCTGCCAGGACTCTACAGGAGGTTTTCACCCCCAGTGCCCTGGAACCTAATCAGAAAGAATTCCTGATGACTTGTGGACAGTGTTCAAGCATTCAGATTCTCTGCTGGTCATCTCAAATGCACAAACCTGTCAAAGTGTTGCTTTGTCAATGCCATGTTTCCACCTTTTACTCACATACTCTAGAAGCTAATTCTTTTTACCAGTATAACCTCATAACCATTTATTAGATGTTTTGTTTTATTTTAAATTAAATTTTTAATTACATTTTATGTGTGCTCCCATCCATTTCTGCTCACACGCTGCTGTTTTGTAGAATCCAATCCTCAGGTGAGCCCACTGAATTTCATGCAGTAGGCAAAGCTCCAGGTCTGGGGTATCAGAAGTGAACGTGGTGTTACTCAAGGAAGAAAAAAGGCTTTTAAAAAAATTAATAGTTAAGCAAAACTGTGCAAAAATTTGCTGTAAACTGGGGCAAAAAAAGATCCACAATATTGTGGTGATAACAAGTTCAAGGTTTGGGTGTATAAATGATTGCACAGTTCAGTGGCAAATCCTCACGACCTGGCTGCATTCCAGGTCAAGGCCAAGACCCTGAGTCCAGTGTGCTGATTTATTATTTCAAAAGAGAATTAACTTCAAACATGAAGACATTGATTGTTTTGGAGTGGTAACTGTTTGGGGAATCACAGCTGCAGCCTTGGGCCTTGGCTCTGCCCGTGGGACTGCTCTGGTTGCAGGATTGGTCCCTCTGTGTCCTGTGATTGTAAATGATGTTGTGGAGCCCTGTGAACTGAACTAAACCCCTGCCAACTCCTTTCTGTTTCTTAGTAACCAATAGTCATTGTAAGAAGGTTTCCACATGTGTGATGGCAAAGGCAAAGGCTGTTCCCAAGTGTTTCTCGTGTAAGATACTTGAATGCTGTTTGCAGTGTCAGTGGGTGTTGGTGAAATCCTTTGGTGTTGGTTCTTTATCTTCTTTTTGTCGGATTAGATGGGGAAAGTGGGTATCAAAAGCCATGGATAAACTTCAAGTCCTTTTACTGTTACACTTGCCTTGTCAGAGATACAAAGTACAGATCCTTTCCTTTTAGGGAACCTATCTGTGTGAAAGGAAGCCAAATTTTCATGCACCAAGCAAAAAGAGCCAGGTCTATTTCTTTTTTTTCCCCAACTTTTATGTCACAGAGGTTCTGCCACCCTGTTAGGAAAGATGGTGGAACATTCACCATTCCTCCCTCATAGGAGGCCCAGCAGTTCAGCTCTTACCACCTGTGATCCAGGGTGATCCAACTGGAAATGGGCTCCATTTTTCTGCTGGAGAGGAGGTCAAAACTTTTATTTATGATGCTAAACATCACATACACTTGTGTGCAGCTGGCTGTCTTCAGCAGGCCAGCTGAATGCACTGTTTAGACTGAGGTTTCCTTTTGGCTGGCAGCATGCCCTGTACCTATTTCTACAAAATAATTTTTCAAAACCAAACACAGGGTTGTTCTGAAGTCCACCTCTGTCCCCCAGCCACTGTGTACAAGGGACCTAGAAATGAAGGACAGCTCTTTTACTCCTGTCTGTTGAGGAGCTGATTTATCACTGACAACTTCTCCAAGGCTGTACCTGTAATGCTCAGAGACCTGGGTCTGTCTCTCTTGACTTTTCTCAGCCACATCAAGATTTTCATTTTTGATTGTGAATCAAAAAGAATTCATAGTTATAATTCAAAAGAATGACCACAGGTATTTGGATATTTTTTAATGGCAGGATCTAATTAAAGGTGAGAGATGCCAGTTGTTGTAACTGTCATTTTGGGAAAGGAAAAGTGTATCTTTGCTAGTAATTTTTTCTTTTTAAGATGGTGGAAAAGTAGGGAGTTTATTGCATATGCTTTTTGTCCAGCACTTATTAAAAGAAATTTGAACAGTAGTGCTGTTGTGCTATCTGGGAGCATCTTTAGCCAACACAAAAATACCTTTTTTTATCAATAGAGTGCACACGTAAATTATGAGAAAATAGAACTCTACCTAATCTTTAACTCAGAGATCCTTTATAAGGGTTTCAGCAGAACATGCAAGTTAGAAATCCCAGTAACCAACTTCACAGCAATGGTAGTAGGCTTTGAAATTTATCCATGGATCACCAGAGAAATTATTTTCTTACAAATGAGCTATCCCATGGCTGGAAGTGGACAGGTGCCAATGCAAGATTTATTCTCAAGCTAAAAGCAAAGGAGAATCATCACAGCTATTAAAAAATAGACACATAATTTGCACTCCAATGCAACAAGTAGCACTCAGCAGAAGCTGCAAGGGGGGAAGGAGATGGAGTCTGAGATGCTCAGCTGATGCTCATCCCTCAAATCCCATGGAAGCTCTGCTGGCCTTGGCTGGCAGGTAGGCAGGACAGCCTGGTCTCCTTGGCTTCTACCCTGAGATGTTTGTTCAAAGCACTTTTGGGAGGTTTGATAATGGGCTGGGCACTGTTGACTTTCTCATGCCTGATTTTGGTGTGCACAGGGATAAGGTAGGAAGGTGCAGTGCCCAGGGATTGGTACTTTCAGCCATGGGATTATTTTTCCCTCACCTCGGAGTCCTTTCACTGCAGTGTGAACCAGAAGAGTTTTGCAGTAGATCAATGGCATTCTGAAGTTCACACTAAACTTTCTGTTCTTTCTGGGAGTAATAACAATGGCTAACAATGGATTTTTCTGTGTGGGCTTCTTTCCTCTTGCAAATCTCTCCAGCATTTAAATGAAGATACAGTAGCCACTGTTCACATATTAATCTCCTTGATGACAAAGCCACCTCTTTGTTCTGGTGTCTCTCCTAATACGAGTTATACCATAAAATTTGTATCTAGGATTTGCTTCAATCACAGTCTTACATTCCTGAGACACTGATGTAATGCAGATTATCCAGAAAGATTGGTGTGTGCCAAAGTAACTGTTCCCAAGGTGGAGTGTGCTGCATACAGCACTATAAATTATCAAATAATGAAGTTCTCCTGTTGTATTTTCAAAGCTTCATCTTAACAGGCTGATTTATGGGTGAAATTACTAAAAATACTGCCTGATAGTTGCCAAATCTCATCAGTCTTTAACCAGTTCCTCATTTAGAGCAGAACTTTAGGCCCAACTTTGCAAACCCCGGCCTTGCAGACAATTATCCTAAGACCTAACAGAGCTTTGAGAGTCCTTGACTCTGGACCAACTCTGAGACATTTTTTGGTCATTCTCGCTGACACTTGATAATCTTTCTGGCAGTCTGCAGTTACAGTTTGCTTAATAAAATGTGCCTGGAAAACACTGGAGGCGTTTCCTGGTGCAGTTATCTCAAAGATCAGGAATCTGTGACCAGAAGCCTCCCACTAGCTCAGAGGACCAGAGTGGAGTGGTGGAGGCAATCCAAGTTTGTACCTGTGGCAAATTTGCACGGGTGATATCCAGTCTGTTTGCAGCAGAATTCGACCACTAACTCACCCAACATTGCTGGAGATAACAAATGAGAGTGTCCAGATGCTCCTGGTGGGACATGCCCAAGGGTTCTGCTCCACCTCTGAGAGGACAGGTCAGATCCAAACCCCTGCAAGGCATTTGGCAGTTCTCTAATAGGAGAGTGAAGGTCAGCAGTCAGGTTTGTGGCACAGTGAGTTAACACAGTGGGTTTCTTCTTATTCAGGAGCTGTGAGTGCAACCCCTCAAAGCCATCAATCAGGATTAGAAATTACACAAGGAGAAAAAATCGGGTGTGAGACCAAACCAAACAATCTCCAGAACTAATACTCTATTAATAGCTCACACTTCACTGTTTACTATTGTAAAAAGTAACATAAAAATCGCTTTGCCACGTGGTGTTTTTCTCATGGCACAGTGATGAAATGAGTGTATTTATGGCTTGAGCTGAGCCTCCAGCACAACTCCAGAGTTTGCTCACCTCTAAAGCAGTGTGACACACTCCTGGCTGCTGCTGGGTCAGGGGACACATCCAGAGTTCACTGAACTTAGTGACTGCCTTCCACTAAATTCAGAGTAACTTTGTCTCCAACCCCTGCATGATTTAGCTCTGGGCATTTGTATCTGGTTAAAAAGCTAAATGAATAAATATTCCCCTTAGTAGGTACATTAAATTCCCTGAAACTTGGGCATGTTCCAAACTGGCTTCCTAACAGGGGTGTTCAGGGGGTATCAGGAGCTGTTTACCTGTGACAGACTGTCACTGGTCACACTTTTGCTGTGTGTTCATGTCTTGAGTAGTTGGTTGGGTTTATGTGCAGCTGCATGGGGTGCAGTGAGGATGTTTGATATCTGAAACACTCTGTATTGACTGTGATTTGATATCTCAGCTGATGAAAAACCAACTCCTGGCAATGTCTAGGATAAAGCCCAACATCTGTTTGCTCTGATTTCATAGCAGATTTCAGTTATTGCCTTTGAAAAATTGACCCTGGAAGTAATGATTTTTCCTGGTGAAACCCAGGCTGGAACAGCAGCTGGGAGAGCCTCTGCTCTGGCTTCTGTGCACAGACAAGGTTTGAGCTTTGCTGCCCCTCTCTCTGGTTTTCCTGCAAGGGATGAGTGACCTTTTCTGAGATATCCTGAGTTAGGGAGAAGTAAGTGAGGAGGAACAAGTGCAAAGAGAACTGAGCTGAAGGGTCAGATGAAAGTGTCATTCAGATACAAGAAGTCGGGAAAAGAGGGAGCCTGTCTGGCCCAAGTCAGCTGCCCACCCTCTGCATCTGATGAAACTCAAGAGCTCAAGCCTTACTCATGAAATGAATGTTCAGGAAATGATTCCACCATCTGAGAGCCCAAATCTGTCTCACTCCATGTCACAGTGGCAGGAGAATCACTTAGTCCTGAGATGCAAGAGGCTGTCACCATACTCCTTTGAGTACTCCGTGTATCAGCACAGCCAAAGCAGGGCTGTTCAGCTGCACTTTTATCCCTAAAATAGTTCCCTGAACACTGCTAGGTGCTAAAGGAATCACTGCTCCCTGTGCCAGCACTTCTCCAACCCATTGCTCTAGACACCCACAATTCCCATAAAGGCATCACTGGCACAGAACAGCTTCACAGAGCTCTTTAAAACAAGACAAGTGGATGAGGGAACATACAGGATAAGCTGCTTAACGTCTAAGAGGACAGCAATAACTCCATAAAGGTGCCAAGTGATACACTGCAAAGTAAACTGGGTGGCCAATTAGGAGGAATCAAGTCATGGTTGTGATGAGATTAGTGTCATCTACAGAAGTCTCATTCAAAGTCCAGTGAAGCCAGTGGAAAAACTCTGCCTGGCTCTTTGAAATGGGCCCTACTGTTCCTCTGCTGTATTATTTCAAGGCACCACTTCCACCCCCTGGAGCAAGTCTGTAACTCCACATGTCTCCATAGTGGGGGAAAATAGGCTACATTTCCTTGTAGCTGCTGTTTATTCTTACTGTATTCTATGAGTCAAAATTGGTCTTTGAAAAATTGTTTAGAGGTGACCAGTGGTCAGTCTGAAGGAACTTCCAGCTCTGTTATTGCATTAAATCTGAGCTGTTGAATTCTCAGAGCCCAGTGCAAGGAGATGACTATCTCCTCCAGAATTTTTGTACAGAGCTGAAATATAAGTGAAAACAAGCTTTTCCCCTCATTTGTCCCACTAATTCCCTCTGTTCAGTTTTAGCATCATCAGAAAGTTTTGTGGAAGTGAGTTCTTTCTGACACCGCAGCATGGACAGGAAGGACAAAGCAGGAGTATCTATTGGAAACTTAATTCCAAATGTCTGTTCTGTGCAGTGTTGCTCCTGACAATCACACTTTGCAGTGTCCTCATGCATCCCTGTGAGTACTGCAGGAAAACCAGAGTGATTGGAAGGGTGCAGATCTAATGAGAGCTGATTAACAAGGCTGAAGTCACAGCTGAGCAGCACATACACATTTCTGCTGAAATGTTAGTCATGACCGTGCCTGTCACAGCAGTGAGAACTGGCTGCCAGCACAGGGATCTCATCTGGAGTGTTTCTCACTCCATCCCCAGCCTGGAGTTGAGTTTTTCACAGAGAGATACGGGGTGGCTGATCCTGGCTGGCCCTGCCCTGCTTTCATTCACGCCTTTTTTGTTGCTGTAGGTTACATCGAAGCCGCTGTGATCCCTGCGGGTGCCCGGCGGATCAGAGTGGTTGAGGATAAACCTGCTCACAGCTTTCTGGGTAAAAAGACAAAAGAAAAAAATGTTTTGTTTAAAATTCAGCTCTGTTTTCTTTTGAAAATGACCCTTCTCTAAGCGATCTGCAAGGTTTGTTGCTGCCAGGGAGGGGCTGGTGATTTGAGTCTTGCTGCAATCTCTGCTTTTGTGGCTTGGTTTCATGATGTTTGTGATGTGATAGTATGTGACACTTACAGGCCCTGTGCAACCTGCAAGGACCAGAGAGTACTTTTATATACAGACAGAAGAGTTCCTGAGCAGAACTTGGCAGTGGCTTGCACAGAGCTGCCAGGAGCACACAGCACTTCAGGAGGGAGTGGGGAAGAGAACAGTGTGTTTAGAGAAGGGAATGGCAGAGGTACTGATAGGAAGGCGCCCAGCTCAGTCTGAAGCAGAGGCAGGACAGGGCAGCTGATATCCCTCAGGAACCTGCTCCATTTCCTACAGCAGCACATTTTCAGTGAATGCTGTACCCAGTACCTGATCCTGTACTCTGAGATGGGCTTAGCTGCAGCCTCTAGTCCACTTGCCTCTATTTTATCAGGCAAAAAAACTTGTTTAATCCACTTGTGGTTTCTACTTCTACATTCCTTTAGAGGGGAACAGGCACCCTCTCCTTTTCCTGTTTGGGAAAAAAAGGTTTAAACATAACTGATGGGTAAGATTTGCATGTGAGGTTGTTGTAGGGCAGAGTCTGTCAATGAATTTGTTGTTCAGTTACTCATTCCATAAATCAAAGATCAGAATGGCATTTGTAAAGTGCAGTCGGTCAGTTGCACTGAGGATCTGTCAGTCTGTCCTTCTGCCTCTTCTCTCCAGTGTTTGGGGCATTTCCTTCTCTGTCATTACTGTGCAATAGATAAAAGGTTTTATCCCCATCTACTTCGAAGGAGAGTCCAGCTCACAGGAATGCTAATTCCCCGTGGCCCTGAATTTACACAGGAAGCCTGTGGCAGAGCAGAGGCTTCAAGGAAAATTGCCCAAGATCCAAAAAAATCCCTGACACATGAAAAGTCCCTGGCACAATCAGAGCTGCATGGCCATGGAATTGCTTCCAGAGAGGAAGGAACTCTGAGAGGATTGCAGAGCTTGTCACTCTCTGTTTTATGGAAGAGGAGACTGAGGTGTTGCAGCTTGCTCATGGCTATGCAGAGAGTCAGAGCAAAGCTCAGACTTTGGTTTCTGATTTCCACATCTTTTGCTTCTATTTCTTCATCTCCAGCCAAAAAGAGATGTCAATATCCAGCACTGGAATATCAGATGCAGCTGAAAACATTTGCATAGTGGTTGTGTCAGGATTTCAGGTCTAGGGCTATTGCTTTTCTGTCTTGAGATGTTGCCACAGTTGGCAATATCACCAGGAAAGATGCTTTTGTTCTCTTTTACTCCAGATTCAGGGGGAAAAAGGGGGGCAAATTATGTCATTCAGCTGCCCTTTGATCAAAACCATTGGCATTTGTGCCACTTCTAGGTAGGAAGGAATATCACCACTGTTCCTATTTCCATAATGCTTTAGCCAGCCTGCCAGAGGATCCCGCCTACACGTGAGATGTTTGACATAGCAAAGCCTGGTGGAACAATGGGAGCCAGTGTTTCTTTGGGTTTTGCAAGTGGTCTGCCTTCTGGAAACCAGCCTTTTTGTTTGTCTTGGTGGGGTTTGCACAGGGTATTTGGGCTTTGGCAGATAGCAGAGCACTGAGAGTCCTACACAGAGTTAGAGACTGCCTTTCCTTGGGACAACATAATCTTGACTAAAGCAGATGGTTCCCCACTGGGTGGTGAAGATTAGGATTGTGTATTTTTGAGAGCAGGAGTTGGCCCTGTTTGCATCACTTAAAGATAGATAAAAATCTGGCTCTTTTAAAGCTTTGAGTGCTTTCAGCTCTTTGGTTCATGGTCAGGAGCCAGGAGAACCTCTCTAAGTTTTCCAGGGTTTTCTCTTTCAAGGAACACTCAACACAAAGAAAAGATACCCAGTGTCTTGCTGAACTGAGATGAAGAATAGCAGCAGGGGGATTCTAGTAGGACAATAAAGATGACCAAGGAGAAAACCCCCAATCACTCTTAAATTCAGGTCTGAGTGTGGAAAGATTTTCTATTTCAATAGCACTGACAAAGCTGAGTCCAATCAGGTCCTATTTCTACTCAGAACCAGGTACAACATTTTGGAAAGAAGCCCAGCATAATTTGGAATCATTATTCCATGTGCTGGGAGCAGTGCCTGAAGAATTTCCCTCCACCTACAGGCAACCCACGCTGGCTGCCTTGGCTGGCTGTAACTCTTAAAAACCTCCTTGAACAGGAAATGCCTGGGCAGTTTGTGTCCACAGGCTGGGAGGCAAGCTGGAGGGACCCAAGGTGGAAATAAAGATCTGACTAGATGCCAGGTTTAGAAGTTGACTGTCAGTTCCTGTCTTCCAGCCAACAAGAAAAACAGAAGTTACAGGTTGTTGCTGGGGTTCCTATTCCTCCCACTCTTCTGCTGGACAAGTTTGAGTTCTGTCACCTCTTGGGCAGAGCCATCCAATGGTTGTGTGTGACAAAAGCCATTGGAGTTGTCTGTGTCTGAGACATGGAAGGTTTTGTAGCTGCAGCAGTGATCTTGTTGATGAGGCAATGGAGGCAAACTGCAGTGAAAACACTTTGACCCAAATACTCTGTTGAGTCTCCAGTGCAATTCCTGCAGTCCTCGAGGAGCACCTTTGAGAAAAGGTCTATTTCAAACTCTCCATCTCCTCATCCACTAAGGGAGCAGTGCCTGCAGCAATCAAAATCAAACCCTGCCCAGAAAAGATGTTCACAAAGATGAAACGTTGGTTTTCATCAGCAAATTATCTCCCTTTGATAGTGAGCTGGAACCAAGACATGACTTAAGTCACTCAACCTCCTAGACAGTTTTGAGCACGTGCTGAGCTATCTTTCCTAGTCAGCCATGCTGCTTGGAGATGGTTTTATCTCATCCACAGCTTTGATTAGTCATGTCCATGGCTCCTCAGGGCCGGCATGGTGGCTGCTTTGATCTGCCTGGAAGCCACTAGGCCTTGGCAGAGGAAAGCAATCCTGCTTCAGAATTGTCTCTGGAGATTGCAGAGGGTACTTTGTAGACTGAGGAACAAAGCAGAAAGAGAAGTGAGCCGCAGGGAGAGACACATTGCTGCAGAATGCAAATGCCAGGACACCATCATAGCCCTGGGCTGTGTGCCAGAGGAAACTTTGCTCAGAAAAAATATTCTCCCACTTCAGTTCCCCTTCACCCTGATATTGGAGCCTCTGGTGGGACTGACTCTGAGAGCTGTCAGGAAGGTTGTGTGCAGCAGGACAGACACCCACCTTTTTCCAGGGATTCCCAGTGTACAGGTCCTCACAAAGGCACATGCAGATGCAGAGAACATTGTGACCTCCTCTTGCTCCAGATTCCCCCAGTTTAGACATTGCAAATTACATAGATAGATAGATAGATAGATAGATAGATAGATAGATAGATAGATAGATAGATAGAATGTCCTAAGCACACCCAGGAGGGTTTGATCCAAAGGGATGACAGTAGATTTCCTATTGACTTTCAAAGGCTTTAAAAAGCTTCTCTTACCTTCTTGCAACACATTCAGATAAGTGAGAACAAAGTTGTGTTCTTTATTAGAAGAGAATAAAATAGGCGTGAGATGCTAGAGGTTAGAAAAACATCTTGTTAAAGGCTTAGCCAAAAGACACAGTTAACCTTGAACTAAGGAAGCCCAGTAACACGTGGGATATTCTGTCTGTCTGCTGTCAGGGCAGATTTGATCATGGTGAATGGATCTCCACAAAGGAGCCTGGCACTTTCTGCTGCAGCAGAGTTTGCCAATTTTCTCTTCCCTCATGCATCACACCAACATCTGGATAACTCTGCTTCCGTTCTAACACAGAAAACACATCAATCCCTAAATGAGCTTCCGCTGATGAGTCAACAGTAATGTGATGCCCTTATGGCTGGAGTTGTCTTTGAGTGTTTGAAGGCCAGCAATGATCCTCGTGCAATAGTTATACTGGAAGAAAGGGCATACAACTCCAAGTATCTTCTCAGTATTCATCTTCCTTCTGCAGTTGAGCTTTCCATGTTGGCCTTACTGAGGCACAGAGGAGCAGGATGGGTGTGACCCTACAGCACCTGACCTCATGCATTTATGTCTGGCACTCGGACTCTGAAAAGAGGGTGGCCAAATTCACATTCTGCCCAGTGACCAGCCCCTGCTTTGTGACTTGACTTCTCTTTACAGCTGTGACAGCTGAATGTTAATTTGTTCAATGTTTGGTTATGGAGCATACACAAACACAGCATCAGTTGTCTTTTGCACTTGCAAATCTTCGCATGTGTATCAACAAAGATTTGATTGATCGTTTTCTTGAGGAGAGTTTAGGAAAATGTGGTCTCAAAATCTGGAAACTGAAAGAAAATTCTGCTTGGAAACTAAATAGCAGAGTTATATTGTTGCATGTAAAAGGAGAGGTTAGAGATAAATGAGCTATCAATTTTATGGTAATTCTTCAAAATGCCTTCATCAGCTAAAGTACAGAATATATCCAAGTTAGAAACATTACAATGGGCCATCTAAAAATGGGGGGTTTTATTCTTTTAAACTCACATCCATTACAAGGTTTCTGCATCTTGTGCTTGAGGTAGCTTAAGACAAAGGCTCAGTAGTCTGTATTGTAATTACAAATTTGCTTGCATTTCATTCTGTGGTGTTTGATTCATTCCAGCTTTAAAAGATTCCAGTAAGAGATCCATTAACAGCGACTGGAAAATTGAGCTTCCTGGTGAGTTTCAGATCGCAGGCACCACTGTCCGGTACGTGCGAAGGGGGCTGTGGGAGAAAATCTCTGCCAAAGGACCAACTAAAATACCACTGCACTTGATGGTAACTTTATATCCTTTGTTTGTGTTTCTTAAGTGATGCAACAGAAAGGGTTTATATCCTAGCTGAAAGTTAAATTTTGATTGTTTGCTTCCTCACCACAGTGTTCTTTTGCAGCGTTGCAGGGGCTGGAGAAGCCCAGCTCCCCACTCCAAAAGTGATGCTCCATTCTGGGAGAACAGGCACTGTCCCATTCAGCTCATGTCCAGTGCAGGCTGTCCCTGTAATGTGTAACAGACAGGTCCATTCTAGATGATGGAGGTTCCCAAGGACCTTTCTTATTTCTTGGACATACCTGATCACACACATAAAAGCATATTTGCTGAAATATCTTTTTATCTTATGCCAGAATGTATTCTGTGCTTAAGTACTTTGTTCTCTAACAGAAGAGGTGCAGATCTAGCATGCACAGATGATTTATGTGAATTTAAATCTAAGTAATGACTTAATTACACACAGAAATGTTCTTTGTTTTCTCTATATTGTTTTTTCAATTGTATGTAGTTTAAGGTGTTTTTTGAAATTTCTTCCTAATGTTCCACATAGCCCTTCTGTTAACCCAGCTTGGTATTTTATGAGCAGCCGTGTGGCTGAAGATGAATGAGAAGTCCACAGGGGTGAGAAGAGCAGGACAGTGGTCCCAGAGCTGTCCCTGGTGGGGGATGGGGTGACCCATGGGCCAGTTCCTTAATGTCTAACATTACCTTAACATTTGTATCTGTGAGACAGCTGTAATAATGCCTGTCTCATATATCTGTTCCTGTTTACAAGTCTGCAGAAAGCTTTACAGGTTCTGTAGCAAGGATTGCATAGAAAGTATATTAGTTTTTTCATTGTTTCCTGTAACTTTTTTATTCTATTCCATTTTTTTTTCTGTGCTGTTTCTTCTCCTTGTGACTTTTTTGCTATGTTTGTTCTCTGAAGGCTATCTGTAAGCACTGCTAAAAATCAGCATTCTCTCCCTTCCCTCACCTGATTTTTTGGCTTGCTGGTGTTCATTGTCCAACACTTCCTGATCCAGTTTGAAAAGCTCCAAAGATGCTTGAGCTTCTCACACACACACAGAAAGCTGACAGTAAAACTCCACTTTGTCAGTACCTTCTTGGTGTCAAAATCTGCTGCACAGGAGCATCAGGGGTTTTGTCTTTGCTTTCTCAGACAGTTGAGTGAGTTTACAGGCTCACAGACCAGTGTAATGAAAGAGGTTACAGTTGGAATAGTCAGGGGTGCAGGGTTGGGCACCAGCACCTTCCTGGCTCACCTGTGTAATCCAGGATGTGCCCACTCCAGGGGAGTGTATTACAGGCACCTTCTTCAGCATCAGAAACATCAGTTGCTGCTTGACTTTGGCCTTAACAGAAGCCTTCCCTCCTGAAACCAGGACTCTGACAAAGTATCTTGTACTGCCAAGGTCTTCCCACCCTCATGTGAGAAACAGGAGTTGCACAGGTACCGTTTGGGAAGATGCTGTGCAGAGATCCTTTGGCAGCTCTTGGAACCTTCTAGGGCATTACTTGGTTGAGGTCCACTGCAGTAAAATCTGGTTATTGACATTTTGTGAACCTCAGCATCAGCAGAGCTTTGGTTTTGAAGAAATGCTCAGTTCCCCTTCATTAAGGATTAAGTAGCTAACATAGAAAAGGAGTGATTTTGAGCTTCTCCATGAGTGTCCTGTCCAGATACAGACAGACCCTTTCAGCAGACATAAGCAGAGGAAATGTTCCTTCTTCACCTTCCTTCACAGAAATGATTAAAAATGAGGAATGTAAAAATTACCAGACCATTAAAAAACATGTGGTTTTAAATCACTGCCAATGATAAACAAAGCACACATGAAGTCTTTGCTTCAAATCAGATGCAAATCTTTTCCTTGATACAGGGTGGTGTGTTTCATTCTTTCAACACAAGAAAGGCAGGATGGTTACCAGTTCCCTCTAAATAGAAAACTGTTGTTCAAACAGTGGTGGAATACACTGGACTGACAAAGAGCCAGAAGCTTCAGTCAGTCCATTGTGACCTGCATTTGAAACCAATTATACACACATACACACACCCCCCAATTATATATGGCTACGAAATTGCATGAAATTGGTTTCATATGGGCCTTTAGATTCACTAGTCTCGCACCCATATTGAGATAATAAGGATTTCTTTTTAGGAGCTGGTTTTTAATACTTGAGGCATTTCTCCAAGTGCATTGCTGTGCGTGTATTTCTTGGAGAAACTGATGTTTGTGTAAGTAGGCCTGTGCTGGTCCTCCTTGTGCAACATAGGACAACCAAACACTCCCAGAGCAGAAGGGGGCTTTAGACAAGGCTGGCTGATCAGTTCTGTAGAACAGGAGTTTGTATCTCCTGCACTTCAAGAAAGCCAAAGGAGGACTCGAGCTCTCTGCCTCTGACAGCCTGGTGTTTGAATTATGTTTAAAAAGCCCAACATTCATCTTTGAAATGGTAATGATGGCTGGCTGGTTTCAACCCTGGTCTTCAGTCCTGGTAGTAAGGCTCCCTCTGTAGCTGAAGCAAAATCATGTCTTTGTTCCTGACATTCTCTGGAAGAGCCTCATCTGCCCAGGGTTCTGTCCTGTGCACAGCAGCTCATGGGTGCTGAGTTTGTGGAGCCCCCCCGGGTTCACAGCACAGGCTGCCAGGACCTCTTCTTTCAGCACGTTTGTTTGGTTAAACGAGCTCTTGACGTCTTTAGTGAGATTATTAGTTAAGCAGGAATGATTGGAGGAAATCTGAAAGGGAAACAATTATTGTTGGGAGAAAAGAGCGTTTGCAAATTGGTCTTTTTTCAGATGGGCAGCTGCTTGCTCCACTTAGGAGAGCCCTGCTTAAAATACCTTGTTTGATAAGACATTGCTCCTATTTCAGTAGGTGACAAAAGCCAGCACAATTCACCTGTCTAATGTTGCTCAGATCATGGGATAATAAGTATAAGTAGGTTATAATAATATAAGTAGGTTAAAAGCCACAGCAGGGACATTGCAGTAGTACTTCTATGGCATTTGTTAAAACTCTGGTAACTCGGGTTCCATGGACCCCATCCTCGATGGGATATCTTCCAATCAGTTCTGAATCAAGCCAGGGAAAATGAGAGCCAAATGAAGTCCAACATGTAAATCAGAACAGGACCAGTACTCTCATCTGCCTATGGTGAAAATATAAACATTTTTCTCTGTTCCTTTGTTAATAGTCAGACAATTTTGGAGCACTTAACAGTGGAGTCATCACAAGTGGTCCATAGGAAATACCTTGCTGTTGGAAGCAGGTTTCACCTTCCTCTAGCAATATGCAGGGATGAAAATATATGTTGCCAGCAGCTGTATGATATGGCCTTTGCTTGTCATCCACAGTTTTCTGACACATAAAACCCTACTGCTGCAGCTTGTCAGCAGGAATAGTCATGCTTGCCTTGAGTGCCACATTCACCAGGACACAAGGGACTTTTTGTGCAGTAGTTGTTTTTTCTCTGAGAAGCATCACCTTGTTCTTTCAGATCTTTGACTCTTTAAAATGCTCTTTAAAATAGTTGTTATATGAAAAGTGCTGATTTAATGCTTCCTGTTGTCTTTCTCTTTGAACAGCCAGTGTCCTGCTGATCACATGTGAGGCTGAAAGTTATGCCTCGAATTCCAGGTTTAGACATCCCTGTGATTGCTTTAAACATTCACAAATCACAAGCAGTTCTTGCTCCTGCAGTTGCCCTGTTTTACCAGTACCATTGTAACTTAACTTTTCTAGATAAAGATTTGGTTTCCTTTCCCAAGGTATTTATATTTTAGGAATTTTTTCCCGAGACAGCATTTCCAGCAGTGTTATCTCACAGCCTGTTGGCTCCCACAGCAGTGTGTTGCAACAGCCTCTCTTTTCCTGCCGAACCAGGTGCTGTTATTCCATGACCAGAATTATGGAATTCATTATGAATACACCATCCCTGTAAACTATACTGCTGAAAACAGAAGTGAGCCAGAAAAGCAACAGGATTCCTTGTACATCTGGACACACAGTGGATGGGAAGGATGCAGTGTGCAGTGTGGAGGAGGTAGGGACACCAGGACGCTTGGTGGGAATCTTTGTGTGGTGTTTGCAGGTTCCAGCCACAGGAGAGGTGGAAATTGGCCATGAAAATGAACTTCACCACAATGAATTCAATGACAGCTCGTTCTCACCAGCTCAGCCAGCTCTGATCCCTGTCCCCAGAGTTAATTTCCAGCCAGCCTTTTGGCAGGGACACTGCTCTGTCACCGCAGGCTGGAGCTGCACCTGGATTCCTGTTGCACGGATGGCTGCAGGCAGCCCCCATCACATTCCTGGAGCAGCGTCTCTGTCTCTGCAGGTGTCCAGGCACGCTCAGGGAAAGGCACTTCCCTCCCCAGGGATGGAGTGGGGCAGTGCTGCTGTGACAGCTCCTGGAGATTTGCACCAGACACTGCCGTGCTGGGAGTCCAGGAGCACATGGCACAGCTCCCTGCCCAGAGCATCCCTGGATGTGCCCAGACAGATCCACTGGAGCCCTGGGGGCAGTTGATGCTGTGAAACCAGAGCCTGGTTTGTCAGACACTGTCCATTGCATTTTCAGAGCTGGAAGAAGTAGGTTGTTCCCTGAGGAAAACAGATCGTTTCCAAGCATTCTGGGCAGCCTGTCTTCACCAGCAGACTCAGTTATTTATGATGTGACATGACAGAAGGAAAGAGCTCATCTTCACATTTGCAGGCTCACTGCCCTCAGTGCACCAAAATTACTGATTTTTTTCTGTAAATAAGACTCACTTTAGAATAGACACTTTTAGATGTGCATTAAAATAGTAATTTTTAAGCCATTAAACCCTCACATGAGTGAGAAGGAAATTTATTTGTGGCTCTTCTGATTTTTGTTGTAAGCCTGCTACAAATTTGAATCAAATCATTGTATGCCAGCATGGCTTCCACCAGCTTAATAATTGGTCTTTTATTTTAGTTGTCCAATGCTTTTGCTACTTATCCAAGCTCAGAAAGCCTTCTTCCTTTCCATACAGATGTTTATATATTTTTTATTAACAGAACATGAGTTATTTTTTATTATCAGCTGCAGATGGTGAAGAAACTCAAACTGATGCAGACTCAGGGTTAGAAAGTGAACCTGAAAAACCAAATTAATTAGCAGTAAGGCAAAGTCACCAAGTGCAGGAGTGGCACTTTCCTTGTCACATCTGGTCACTGTGGCTCAGCCCTGTGGCACAGCTTTCCTGATGCCACTCAGTGGAAGGCTGAACCCTGAGGGCCACGCTGGATGAAAAACTCCTAATGCACAGTTTATGTGAGAAATGCTGACTCCTCCTGAGATGCCTCCTGCCACAAGGATTTTAAAGCAGTGTATCTGGAGGAGCAGAAGATGAGAAATAATTTCTTTTGGTGGCTTTATTTTCTCTCTGTGAAATACAAACAAGCCCAGTTAATGACTCTTGAAACTCGGTCACTCCTTTTCACCCTGACTTCCTGCCTGGGGAGCAGCAGGAGGCAGCTGTCCTGTCATTATCAGTCACATTACCAGGGGGTGGCAGCTTGTGTGACTTCAGCACATCTGCCCGAGGTGATGACAGGGCACAGCTACCTGTGGAGGAGGAACCAGAAATGAAAACAAATTGTTTTAAAGCTCCTTTCCACGTTAGACACTAGAAGGAGAAAGCCCAACTTGCTGCTCCTATGTAACAGTCAATTGCTTAATTACTGGGGAAAGATTTGTAGCTTTTCTGAAAAAAAACCAACCCAAAGCATGCCAGTACAAAAGTCAGGCAGAAGTGGAGAATAAGATTTCTTGCAGAGGTGGTAGAGTACATCTGGTAGAGGGAGCAGGGAACTCCAAGCTTTGGAGTTTTGGTTGATGAGTGGACATGGTTTTGTTCAGTTCTTTTTGACTTGGCTTTCAGGTGAGAGGAAAACCATCGTGTCCTGCACTCGGATCATTAACAAGACAATGACACTGGTGAATGACAGTGACTGCCAGCGAGTGACCCGCCCCGAGCCCCAGGTCAGGAAATGTAATACACACCCCTGCCAGTCACGGTAAGGAGTTCAAAAACACTAAAAACCAATATCCTTTTCCTTCAGAAAGTGCCCCTTTCCAAAGCCTCCATCTGGTGAACACAGTGAAAATGTCTCCAAGTATTGGGACACATTGTTAGCCACAGTAAGCAGCTGTAATATTCATTTCCTTTTGTTGAGCAGGTCAGATTTTCATTACCTCAGACAAAGCCCATTTAATTTGTGGTCAGCAAGGCCAGATTTCATGCAGGCTGCCTTAAATGCATTGTTTGGGGATGGTTTTCTTTTCCCCTTGGTTGCCTCCTGGGAGACAGAACAACTTACAGTATAGACAAGAGTACAGTGACTGCATATCTAACTTTTCTTTTTTTGAATCAGCACAGAATGGGGTCTGATTTACTGTCAAACAGTACTACAAAAACCCTGAAGTCAAGAAATTAAATTATGATGAAACACATTTTAGATACTTTCCTCAGTAAGAGCACTTTTCTTCTCATTAGTTATTAGAGATCTCTAAAAATAATAAATATGCATTTTTTTAAATTTGGCAAGCACTTTTAGCTGAATTAATTTTGATCTGTGTTATATTAAAAAAAGACATTTCTGGCCAAAATGACAAAAGACAGGAAGGTAAATTAATTTGTTTGGTTTCTTTGCTAACAAAAAGGTTCACTCTTGTTCTGCAGTGATGTTTAGAATCGTAGAGTAGTGTAGAAATTCCAGTTTTGATAGTAGTTAGAATAACACCAGGATCAGGGGTTTGATCCATGTATGGGCCATTCACTTCAGAGGTGAACTGAGTGATCCTTGTGGGCTCCTTCCAACTCATATTATTCTGTGATAAAATCAATTTCAGATAAAGCTGAACCAAACCTAAAAAAGCATCTTCAAGCAAGCTACTGGCTCCTGCACCTTGGGTAATCAGACAAGTCAAGGAAATGCACCTACAAAGCTAATCCTGCTAGCAGAAACAATGGGGGAAACAACAACCAGCAAAAACCAAAAAACTTCCTTCTAATTAGACCTGCACTGTGATTAAGGTGCCCTGGAGCAGGGAAATGCAGTGTCAGGTCATCCATCAGTAAGGCTGGTTCAGGTTTCAGTTCCTGTCTGCACTGCCTGTTATTGCTGCTGTACAATATTGTGGCTGTACAACTTGCAGTTCTGAAAGGTGTAATGAGATACCCAGGTGAAAGGAGAGCCAAAATCCCAATGGCTTCAAGGAAACAACTGTCATGTCCATGAGGAGGTCCAGTGAGGCTGGGATTTCTGTCATGTCACTATCACAAAGAAGGATCATCTGCTTGTGTGGCTGCCCTGGCATGAAGTATTTCTCCCAGACTTTTTGGAAAGCTGTTGGGAGTAGAGTGGAGTGAGCCCAGGAAGGTATAGGACGGGTTCCAGGCTGTAGAGATGAAAAAAAGTAACTTTAAAAATTCTGGAAGACGTGGGCAGCTTCTTCCTCTACCAGCTGAGAGCAAGGATGGCAGGTCCTGGCCATGAGGTCTGTCACAGCCCTGAGACCCCCAGTGTGCTCTGAGGGGTCTCCATGGCCCTGAGCCCCTAGGGAAGTCTTTCTGGTGCCCTCCCACCATGGCATTGCCCGTCCAGGGCAGTGACAGTGGGTGAGGTTAAATCACACAAAACATCCTGAGAAAGGATTCCTCTGCTCCTGTATCCAGCCTGTGTTCCTTTGGGGAATTGGCTCCAGCCCTTAATGTTATTCCAAGCTCTCTCTTCTTCTGTGTGAGTCACCAGGCAGTTTGTGGGCACAGCTTAGCACAGTTCTGCCCAGCTGCAGTGAGCTCTGGCACAGGGACACTCCCCTTGGCCCATTTTTTTCAGAGCAATGACAGCAGACACTGAATGTGCTTAGAAGCTGGAAAGGCCACAGAATCCTTGCTGATGATCTGATAGACCACACTCCCTCACTCCCTCCGTGTAGACTACACTTTCACACTTAACATGCTTTTAACTGGAAACTTTTTCAGGAGCACATTCTCTGTGCCTCTGTAGAATTTAAATTTCCACTTGCGTTTGCCCACCCAGACATTAGAAATGCATGCTTAGCATATTCTCTGACCAAGAACATCTTAAAGAAACCATTCTCTTTCACCATGTCAATGCTTTTTTTATGAGCCCTGAATTTGTTTTAGGGTTTCAAGTAAAATTATTGTAGCATCTTGTTACAATAAGGTCCTTTCCCGTTTCCACTCAGACCTAAGCCCTTCACCTGAGTTCAGAAGAAGGAACAATGCTCTCCTTTCTCTAGTAAACCTGCTCTGTTTTGTGCATTTTCAATTGCATTTGCACTTTCACTCAAAATTTAGGAGAATCACCTTTCAGAGTATTTATCTCTAGAGAGGGGTCTTTTGGCCAGCATAGGACTGGGTCAGAGGACACTCAGTCTCTGTTTCACTTTTGGATGGGCTGTGTGACTTTAAGTTTCTATCCCACACTGTCCCTTTGTTTCTTCTCTCAACCCATGTATAAGCTAGATTGCAAACTCTTTGGGAAGGAGTGAGATCATATTGTTTAAGTAGAAGAAGAGGCTGTTGCTGTTGAGATTGTAATAAAAATTAAAAAAATAGTTACCCACATTTATAAAGTGATCAGGAGGAAAAAAGGGTATGTTATTAATAACAGTGTCTTTCTTCCAGCACGATCCCAAAGTGCTTTGTAAATTATATATCCCTTTGAACTTCAGCCACCTCTCAGGAGAGCCAAATAATGTAGGGCAGGGGACAGTACTTTCATGAGGCCAAGGAGAAGATTGGAATTCTCCAACTGCAACCCAGCATCTGAGAAAAACAAAGCAGGATTTAAAACTTGATTGGATACACTGACATGTTTTAAAATTAAACGTCAGAGAAGAGAATTTTCTTAAGGGTTTTGTTGAAACTGGCAAAAATAAAAGAATCTTTCATTCTTTATTATTGTTACTCTTTCACCTTTTAAAAAAAATGCCTCTTTTTCTTCCTATTTTATTTTTTATGTTCCTTGACCCTCTTTTTCCATTAAATTCTTTACAGCTTCCTTTCCTGTCCCAACTGCACCCTATTAGCACCTCTTTATTCTAATCCTTTGCCTAGCTCTTTAGATATTTTTTACAAAACCCTGCTGTAACCAGATGGAATCTGGATTCCTGCATGCAGCACGTATGGGTCGCTTCCAGCACGCCGAGCACCAACCCAAATACACCGGCAGGGCCAGCCCTGGGGCTGGCACCACGCTCACAAATCACAGATCACATCAGCTGTTTTCACTGAAAACACAGCTCGGCCAGTGGCCACACACTTCTACATGCATGGCTGGGTCTGTGGCTATGAAACTGCTCCCCTCCAACGCAGGAAAAGCACCAAAAACCACATGAAATTCCCCAACTGTTGGACTTGTAATGGACTGTGTGCAAACGCTGGTAATTTTTCTCCTCTTTGCTGTAAGAGATTTTAGGAGAGGTTGAGTCCTTTCAGGGGCCTGCTGAATATTTGGTGTTCTTACATGGATGCTAAATAGCAGCATAAATGCCAGAAATCCCTGGCTGCATCTACAGAAAACCACAGGAGATCCTGAGACCTTATTTTCACTGCTTAGGACTTGAAAATGTCTCCTGAGCCCAAGGGTTAGTTTTCTCCTACTGCCAGCAGCATATCTTAGACTCCTTTCTATAAGCTGAGCTTTTTCCACAGGCTCCTTCCCTCACTTTGACCTTGCTCTTCATGTGGGTCACAACCTTTTATTTCCAGCCTAAGTTACTCATGGTCATTTTTCAGTCCTTTTTTTGTGTATCAGCTCTGTTCCTTTTCTTATACAGTATTTTCCCTCCCTCCCTCTCTGCCTTGGGCTGTTTGCCACAGGATACAACAAACCTTTGTATCTCCTCCTTCCATCATTTTTCTGGGCTAAATCCATTACTTTAACTTCTTATTGCTTTTTTCATGGCTGCATCATATTTGTGGCTTACAGTCATTTGAGATGTTTTCCTCCTCATTTGTTTCATTGTATGAACCCAGCTTTAATACAGAAATGCTTGTTACTGGTCCCTGAGCACTCAGCCTTGCACTGTGTGCTGTTTATTTCCATCCTAGCTTTGTTATTGCAGTACTCAAGGTTATTCAGTTCTTCCTGTATGACATCCTAATCCTTTGAGGCATTGACACTGCTTCTAGGCTTTGTATTGTCAGCATTTTTACCCAATTTTTCAGCAGTTTTCTTCTTTTTGTGCCAAGGTCATTAATGAGCATACTAAATTAGATCAAATGCAAGACAGACCTTTCAGGAAGCCCACTAGTAACTGATCTAAATTCCTTTCATACCTGATACTCCTTTGCAGCACTAAAGGTAGATGGGAGGCCAGCTGTCACCTCTGTATGAATTACACAATTATACCTATGTTTCCCAGCATGTCACCAGAAAGCATTTCCCATGCAGCAAAAGGAGTTCTTCACCAAACAGATTAAATCTACATTTCCTTTGTCTGGAAAACCAGGTATTTTAGTCAGAGAAATGCAGCCAATGAGTTTTACCTGGAGGAAGCATATCTTACATCCTTTTACCACTGTGTCCTTGATTATTGTTGCCCTCCAAATCAGCTCTAAAAGCTGGCACGCTGCTGAGGTCAGCTCTGTGGTTACATGGATCATTTCCTTCTTTCTTTCTTCTCTTTCCCTTTCACTTTTCCATCCATGGGCTGTAATCCAGCACCAGGCTCTCCAAGGGCTCACACATCACAACAGTGCCCACTGGGGGAAAATGAAGCCAGTTCTAAGAGTCAGTCAAGGCCCCAGTTGGCTCAGCACCTCAAAATCCTGTCCAAAGGCCGGAGAGTTCCAAAATAATGGTGCCTCAGTGTGTGATGGTTGATGGTGCCCATTGCTTTGATTCCTGGTCTGATTTAGGCTCAGGGTGTGTATCTGTGTGCTGACTGAGAGTCCACCATATCCTTGTGACAGTGCTCTGTTAAACAGCCCAGGAGTACAGAAATCAGAATAATACAGAATTCAGTCTGTCTCCCTGATTCT